ATTGCTATATATCTACACACAAAAAAAAAAATAAAAAAATTTTAAAGCAATTTAGACAAAAAAAAAATAAAAAATTCATACAAATGAATTAGGATAGCAATCCATTCCTATAACTGAGTTGCTAAGAATGAGCACGTTTGCCTAATTTATAAAAATACTAAACAATGATAAATAAAAGCTTCAAAGTTACAACACTGCATGCGTATATCTACACATTAGCTATTAATTTGAGCAATTATTTGTTTAAATTCAAGCAACGGTAACATCAAAACATATAAACGATCCAAACTATATCGTCAATTGCACTATATAATATTTAATGTTCTAATTTAAATAATTATATATCAATCCAGATATTCTTAATATATTACAACAAATTCACGGGCGAAACCATATCTTTAATTGCACTATATAATATTTGAGTTATTACTGAAAAAATCAGTCTTTAGTCACGGTTAATTGTATGTTACTTTTTTCCGAATCATCTATCCTGATAGTCTGATAGTTTTAACTTTAGATGATGATGATGGATAAAATTCCGTTACTGCTACCAATGTCGTCTAGCTATAAAGAGATTTTCAATAATGTATAATTTAAGCCATTGATATTATGTTTTTTTTTTTTTTTTACATACAAAAATGACAAAATTGCTATATAGCTGATCTACATAGAAAATATATCTTCCGTATAAATAATTTATATAACTGAGTTGCTATACAACAAGCTAATTAGCCCAATTAATACAAATTATAAACACTGATATATAAAATCTCTAAAGTTGCAACACCGAATGCGTATATCTACACGTTAGCTATTAATTGGGCAATTATTTATTCGAATTCAAGCATTGATAACATCAGAAAACATAATCGGTGCAACTCAATTCTTCAATTATATTATATAATATTCGACTTTATAATTTATACAATTGTATATCGATATAAATATTTTTAAAATTTTATAACAAATTCATTCCATGCAACGCACGGGCGCAAATACTAGTATATCTTAAATATAATATTTATCATAAGAGAATATTAATTACACAAATCATGTTCAACATGAATATATATGTAATTATGAACCTTTGTAAGGTTATGAACTGCATGCAAATAACTGTTATTATAATTTTCTAGCACACTTTTGCATGTAAGTTTGAGAAATTGGAAGCTTACGTGCTGTATAATCATTTTCCAAATGAAATACACAATTCCCCTATATTGGGGAATAATCCCCCAATGTTGGGGAGTAATCCTCCAATGTTGGGGAATATACAAAGCCGTCCAGCAAACTCATTCTCCATAACTTTCTACCAAACTAAAATAATATTTATAATTCCACAACTCCAAATATTATTTAAGCTTTCATGGTAGTCCATCCGAACCATTAATCTCCATTACTATATAAATTTCCAACATTCCTCCTCCATTTATATAGTAAAAATTAATACTGCACCAAGATAGATCCAAAACTTGTGCATAAATGATAGTGCCTTAGGGATTGAACTTTCGCATAGTATTATATGTGGTACATAAATTCGGATTGCAGTGATGGACGAACCTTGAATCACGCAGTCTCTTTGAATAAACATAGATATAATATACACAAGTTTTACAGTAACTACAACTCACTGTAACTTGACACTATTATGGCCATGTGTCCGTATCCATTAATGAGCACGTACCAAGTAAAGCCCAAACTTGTTTAAAGCGGCCACACTTCATGCTCACAGAGACTAATCTTTTATATCATGCACTGCACCTTGCATTTTTTCAAAAGATCAGTTAAGAGTAAAATCTCATCCCTACAACAATGCAGAACCAAACATCACTTTTTCTTGGGATACAATTTTTAATTTAAACTTTTGATGCTTGCAAATCACAAAATGAATTACTCATCTACATTGAACTCAAGGTCTAACGTAATAACTTAGACGTGAGTTGAGCTTTCCTTCACATGCAATTTAATTAATTAGGCTTTCCATATCCCTTCCGATTTCTTTAGAACCATGTCCATTGCAAAGACTCTTGCAAACGGATCCGTTAAAATAAACCGGGACCGTACAAAGTCCAGTGCTACAACACCATAACTTAGGAGCTCCCGCACATAGCTATATCTCATGCCTATGTGTCTTAACTTGCCATTATAACTTATTGATATATGCTTTGGCCAGTGTAGTAGCGCTGCCACAATGTACTAAAACTGGTGATATCGATTTTGGCCAAACCGGAATCTAAATAATCAGATTCCTTAGCCAATCAACTTCTTGCATGTCAAAGCCAACGTAAGAAATTCATATGCCGTAGTTGAAAAGACAACTTTGCTTTTAGAAACCCATAACACAACACCTCCTCCAAGTAGAAATATCCATCTACTAATTGAGGAACAAGTTTCATGATTAGACATTCAACTGGCATTAGAATATCTTTCCAGGATGGAAATTTCTATTAAATATACTAAACCATAATTAATGGTTTTATTCAAGTATATCAAAATTTCTTTTAATCTCATCCACTTAGCCAACTGAACATGATGATTGATAGAATTTTAATATTCTATTAATGAATCGGTGAAATAAAATATTTAATTGATTATACCGGAACCCACTTAATAGGTTCCTAGTCAATAAATATTTATATCTTGAAAATTCTACAACCAAGAATTTCAATCATCATGTTGAACTTATTAGCAGTGAGGACTCCTTAAAATAAAAATTTAACCTCCTCCATTTGAGACATAATCAACTTTGGAGAATAAACTTCCTCCATTCAGAGAACATCAACTTTGGAGGATAAACCATTTTGATTTTAAGCTTTTAACTTTTCATGTTTCTTCTAAACTGAAGAATCATGACATCTTAAATCATAATCCATGATTTAAATTTAAACTTTCTTTTCACTGCTAATTGCCAGTCATACTAGATAAACTAGTAAACTTGTTGGCTTTCAAAATTTTAACACATTCTCAATATGAAAAACTATGTGTTAAATACATTCATAAATTTTTATGAATTTCATTATGCATACTTCATGCATAAAAGTTTCTGTATGCCTTTATAAGAAATATAACAGAACATTTCCTGGGCTTTCTGCCTTTATCAAAAATATAACAAATATTTCAAAGGCTTCCTGCCTTAATCAGAAATATATATAACATAATATTTCACACTTTCACAAGGATAAAATTATCTGTGTGCTAAAATAATCAATAATTTCATGCATGACATTGAAATTAATTCCAACTTACAATCATTAAACATTTTAACCATGCATAAGAAAACAACAAATTGATAACACCTAATTAATCCAAATTTGGTAGATTTACAGCACATCAAGATCCAACATATTATACATGTATCTTGTATACTATGCATGCAACTGAGACAAAATCTCAAAATAAAATATTTACACACATGCATAAACATATCCTTGTATTTAACAGACTATGCAAAACTCAAAGGAATATCATGCATATCTTCTAGTCATAAACCAGAACTTAACCAGTAAATAAAATAAAACTTACATTCATGTCGAGACCGAGACAAATGAAAAGTATTGTACCGATCACATCCTGTAACTTGTATCTACTTTTGATGATCCATCTCTTCCGGCCTTTGATGCGCTAAAATCACTCACCCCACTGTGGAGAGAACACATCTTCTCGTTCCAGGTAAAATATGCACACAAACTACATATAAACCATTTTCACATCTCCCTAATCATCTTGGCATAATCTAATACCCCATGATTTTGTGTGAAGAAGAAAACGGACTGCATAACATGCATTAAATCCACATGTACAATACATGCCACTACCCCATGCAAAAATTGCATGAAAATATTCTTATACAATAGAATGAAAGTGATTTCTATCATCCTTACCACCAAATTCGAAATTAAATTCTAATTCCGAAATATTTCCATGATAGGGAACTGTTCTTTCACGTCTGACATCTTGCATTCAAAACTTTCAAGGCAAGACCAATGATCACATGTTTATAAATTTAAAGCTTATAGATTGTTGGAAAAAATGTTTGTAATCTGTAATACATTTGAAATACAACAAAATACAGAAAACAACAGGGAACAAAAACTGGATCATTTGATATCTTCAGGCATGTAATCACTTTCCTATAAGCTTTAAATCTCCCTCTATAAAAGCAACAAGGTTCAAGATTTAATCTTATGAGATACAAGAAGATGAATGAAATTCTTAAGTTGCTTTGTTTAAGAATTTCCTGTAGAATTGTAGAACTGTGAAATATCAAGATTAATACAAGTTTATTGCATGTATATTTTCAGATGTTTCTCCAAACTATTTATAAATGAAAATATGACTGTTGGAGAAGTTACATGCAAGTTTTCTGCAGTTTTAAAAACTTATCTTCCATAAAATATATCTTAAATGATATATTTATCATAAGAGAATATTAATTACATAAATTATGTTCAACATGAATATATATGTAATTATGAACCTTTGTAAGGTTATGAACTGCATGCAAATAACTGTGCAAATATATTGATATATATTATAATTTTCTAGCACACTTTTGCATGTAAGTTTGGGAAATTGGAAGCTTACGTGCTGTATAACCATTTTCCAAATGAAATACACAATTCCCCTATATTGGGGAATAATCTAGGGATTTCAATGGGTCGGGAAGGGCTACATCCATCACCCGACCCACCTTATATTTTCTCCACCCGTCCCCACCCCCAACTCGCATCGGGTGGACTTTTTCAAAACCCACCCCACCCCCACCGGGTGCGGGTGCCCACTACGGGTACCTACCACTTATAATCTTATTATTTTTTTTTAAAAAATAATATTTAAATTACTTACACATAATAAAACAATAACATTTATTAGTTATACTAAACATAAAATAATAAAAATATTTAAATATAATAACTGAATTGTTGTTTTTTAAAAATAAACTTAGTAGTTTAGATATAAAAATAGTAAAAATTTACATAAAGTTATTGAAACTCTTATAAATAATTACATGGTGGGTCGGGTGGGGTTCTAGGCGGGTTTTGTACATAAGACCCGAATCCAACCCGACCCACCGCGGGTTTACTTTTTTTTAAGATCCACACCCGACCCATCACCCACTACCACCTAAAAAAACCTGACCCACGCGGGGTGGATTCGGGTGGATATCCGCGGGGCGGACATCCCTAGAATAATCCCCCAATGTTGGGGAATTATCTTCCAATGTTGGGGAATAGACAAAGCCGTCCAGCAAACTCATTCTCCATAACTTTCTACCAAACTAAAATAAATTTATAATTCCACAACTCCAAATATTATTTAAGCTTTCATGGTAGTCCATCCGAACCATTAATCTCCATTACTATATAAATTTCCAACAGTTTTTTGCATAAATAGGAGATGAGGTTTTGGTGTATTTTTCTCGTGTAAGTGCAAAACTTTTGTGGGGTCCACTGATTGAGAAATGGAAACAAACTAACAAAGCATGCTGCTTTTCTTTGCATTTGGAGACACAGGCGCCCAACTAGGCGCGCTTGCTGGTCTTTTTTTTTTTATTTTAGTGTCGGACCTACTTTTTTTTTTTTTTCTTTTTCCTTTTTTCTCTCTCCTAGTGGCACTTCAAAAATAGTGTAAAATGCATAGCATGATGAGGATAATACATTTCCTTGTGATAATTTGACATTGACTGTGGTATTATTTGGTGTTGATTATAAATTATACTTGATGCTAAATTTACTATGTTACTATGTTTTTACCCATTAAACTTTTTCTGCAATAATTGAGGTCAATTATTGGTAGCTAGCTAGTGTACAAAGAGGGAATGGAAGCCATGAGAAGGAGATTGCAATCTTGAATTTCAGTTTTCAAACATGTACAACTCGTCTAGTTCTTTATATTGTTCGAGAAAATACTATTCAACCCACCCACCATGACAACCGTAAATGTTCTAGACCTAATTGAACATACCTTAATTTAACATTGTATTACCTAGTAAAACAATCTCTTTTGTTAAGCATAAATATATAAAATAATACTTTATATATATATATATATATATATATATATATATATATATATATATATATATATATATATATATATATATATATATATATATCACTATAAATTTGAACTTTTAGAATGCATTTTGTTAGGACTTAGGATCAAGCGTTAGCACTTATGCCGAAATTGCTATAGCTTAAAGTGAAATTGCAATTTCATTTCCTTATGTTGTCATAAATTTTTGAGATGCTGGGTGTTAGACTTGCTTGGCCCTTTAGACCCTTTACCGGCCTCTACCTAGCTATTTTTCAGCCACCAAATGCTAGACTTGACCTTTACTGGCCTCCACCGAACACATTTGTTACTTTCCATCAATTAATTTCATGGAAAAAAAATTTAGGGAATATATTTATTGAAAATAATTTTATTATGAAAATTAATTAACGGGATAATCTTAATCAAATTGGTCAAACAATTAGCTTGATAACAATAAGTTTTTGAGTTTGAGCTTGATAGCCATGGACAAAAACGAAATATCCCCTATTAATTTTTCAATTAGATAACTTTTGCGTTACTCGATAAAAAGAATATGTATGTTTAGATAAAATAATTTGATAACCTTGTGTTAATAAAAAGAATATTTATATTTAAATAAAATCATAATAATAAAATTTCACTATGTTTAAACTTTGAATTGAATTAAAACGTAATAAGACATCTTCCCTATTCTTTCAACAAATAAAAAGAAAAAGTGTCAAATAAGTCATTGAACTAGTCGTTTTTGCAATTGAGTCATTGAAAACTTAACAAGTGTACAATCGAGTAATCAAACAAGTAAAATATGTACAATTGAGACACTTTTAAAAAAAAAAATTTCTAATAGAATCTAGTTATATTGCTTGCATGATATGTACTAAGAGTGACATTATCCTCTATCACAGTATCCTCTACCATAGACTATCCTTAGCTTAACCACCAATGATCCATCAACTATCAAATTTTAGCCACACATAGTCCTACAAGACGACCACAGCTGGTTAGATTTGGACCTTGGGTGATAAACTTGGATCACGGATAGTAATAATTTGAAAGTCGAAGGACTACAGGTGATCAATTTAAAAGCTTAGGACTAAACGTGGCAAAACCACTATACTGAGGGACTCCATATGGCATTAATTATATATAGATTGCGGACCTTAAATGTTGGAATGACGCAAAAGTGTTAAAATAGCACACCTTAAGTGTTAAAATGGCGCACCTTAATGGGAGAACTTATGAACTTAAGTGTATAACTGACGCACCTTAAATGTTTAAATGACTCACCTTAAATATTGAAAGGACGCACCTTAAGCTTTGCAAAGACGCACTTTATGCTTCACTATGACGCACATTAAGCTTCAACAATAACGCATCTTAAGCTTCAGAATGACGCACCTTAAGTCTTAAAATGGCGCACCTTAAGTATGCTCCATATGCACAATGTTGAATTCTTCCAACTAATCACATTCATAGATCTGTCTTTTAATGCAACATATTGGTTCTCATATACTCATGGTGAGGGTGGTTCCCATATGATCACTAATTGATTATTTATTTGGCCAGTCCCCTACTACCAACATGGTTGGTGTGGTGGTTCAGCATCTCGTCCCTTAAGTAAGAGGTTGAGGGTTTGATCCCCACCTATGTGAATGGAGCAAACCATTTGGCCAGTCCCCTATCACTTAGTATGGTGATTGTTGGAATGGAAAAATCTTTATATATATATATATATATATAAATAAAGTTCAGTGCTCTAGACATTTTTTCCAAATAAAATAGAGTGAATATATATAAATGCAGCTAGCTTAGCAAATTTCGACGTCATGATTTCGCAAGATGGATGTCATGCATGCACATTAAATTAGGTTGTAATGAGGAATCTATGTTGATGCATGAAGGAGGAGGAGCTAGGAGGATGATGACAAGTTGCAACCCTGCCCGGCCATATCGACGATAATAATGTTTTTTTGTTTGCCTCTTCTACGTACCATATTAATTAGTGAAGTGCTTGTTTTGTTGTCGCTGGAGAAAGCATCTTTGGAGTTAAAAATTGGGTCGGCTTCGCTTTCACAGATCGGTGGATGGTGACATTCACTAGACAACATCCTAAGTTTAGGTAAAAGAGAAGACTGGTTCAGTTGTTTTTAGACCGAAGAAAAGACTCTTTTGACTGCTCCAGTATAACCATATCTTTTCCTGATAACATTCAGCGACATCATCGACCTAACCTCGTCCCCACTGCTCAAACAAGTCTTCTTAACTCCTCAAATTTTCAACCCAAGATTGCTGATGTCAATTATATTATATTATATTCCTTAATTTCAACCATCTAAATTCCATGATCAATGCCTCGCTAACATTGGTTGAATTAGTTCAATTAAAGGCAACTCGGATAAGATCTTGTGGGTGTTTGATAATTAGTTGTTAACAGATAGCTGATTGAGTTAGTTGATATGTGTTTGCTGCTTTGACTAGCTAGTTGTAAACAAAGAGACTGTTTGGCAAATAGCTATAGTTGTTAGCGTTTGAGTTAGGATTTAGGGTAAATTAGATGTTAGCTGTTAGCGTTTGAGTTAGGGTTTAGGGTTTTGACTAGGTTGATATCATTAACTGGTTGTAGAAAGATGTTTGGTAAATTAGATGTTAGCTGTTAGTTGATAGCTGATTACATACAAAATGATATGTAAAGATATAATTTATTTTCTCAAAAATCTTATCAAAAAAAGCTGCAAGAACAACCCAAACCCTCTTTATTTGACCTTACTAAAAAAAACTCACCAAATTACTATATTAGGGGACATCTTATTGGATTGATGGTAATAAGGGGCAAGTTCAACATCCTATCACCCACGTGCAAAACATAGTGTTGACTCTACACAAGTATAAAAAACTAAAGAAGAAAAAGTATTTTCACTATTAATTATAACTCTTAACGTAATAATAAACACTTTATGTAAACTGAATTGATATCTGAGTAGGTGCGCAGGTTCATATGCACTAATGCACCTTATTTCTTGGACTTATGTACGTTTTTATAGCTTTTTTCTTTATCAAACTTAAAATATATTAATTTTTGAGCGAGTTCATATGGGCCTACTCGTCAAATTTTAAAAACTCATTAACTATTTTTAATTTTATTATATTTTCGAGAAAGCTCACAACTGTTACTTGAAGTTTAGTTATGGGTGAAGTCCGCCTTCTGATCATAGTCGCTAAAGAACTACAAAAAAGTCAATAAATTAGTATAAGTTATTCATAATTGACTGACTCAAATCAAGAAAGTCAAACGACTTATTTTAAATTTCTATAACAATAATTAAAGTGAATGAATCCTAACTTATAATTAAGTAATACATTATTATGTATTAAATTAACATACATATTGGTTATTCTAAAACATTACATTTTTTATTACAAAGGAAGGGGGATATCCATACAATTTATGCCTACACTAAGGCTCAAAACCTAAACCTCTCACATAGGGGAGCAATTCGATACCAGTGAACTACAAGCCACTTGATAAAACATTACATTGTCTCATCCTAGATTCCTAGCTAAGGGATATGATTAGTCATCATGTGTACAAAATTAAACATATCTCAATATTGTCAAATTAATTAAACAGTGATTCGCATAGGGGAGCAATCCGATACCAGTGAACTACAAGCCACTTGATAAAACATTACATTGTCTCATCCTAGATTCCTAGCTAAGGGATATGATTAGTCATCATGTGTACAAAATTAAACATATCTCAATATTGTCAAATTAATTAAACAGTGATTCGCAACACAATCCCTTTAAAACATGGGATGATACAAAATATATATCTCAATCTCGTCACCAATTCAGAGAATAGCATCAACTACTTCACTAGATAATATAATGAAATGAATTAGCTAGTGGGAAAATGATATTGAAAAAGGGTGTCCCCACTCGACGAGGCCGGAGACTTGTAGGTCTAATTGTTATTTTTTGTAATAAATATAAATAATTAAATATTGTAGGTTTAAATACTTCAAAAATTCATATTAGAAGTGATTGCAGCGGATGAAAGTAGATTTAGGTGAATCTGCATCCAATTCGTTAAAAGGAAAAATTGAAAATTTTCATCAGCATTTTCATTTTTTTTTGAATAAATACCAGCGGAGGTCCTCTGACTTTGGTGGCACTGCCACTTTTAGTCATCAACTTTTAAATCAACCACTCTTAGTCCTCTTACTTTTTGTTTCTAGCCATCTATGGTCCTTCCGTTAAACTTGACCATCTAATGCCGTTTTCTCAAGGATAATTCAGTCCTTTCATAATTAATTTATTAATTATTATGTTTGCCGAGTCATACCGAGATATCCCGACATCGTTTTGGCACAACCTCCGTACCAGCTTTTGTACGCCATTTTGATTCATGAGCTGGTTTTGTACACGTTCATAGCTGGGGAAACCATTGTTTGACTATTTTGATGAGGAAATTAAACATAATAATTAATAAATTAATTATGAAATGACTGAATTATCTTTTAGAAAACGGCATTAGATGGTCAAGTTTAACGAAAGGACCATAGATGGCTAGAAACAAAAAGTAAGAGGACCTAAAGTGGTTAATTTAAAAGTTGAGGACTAAAAGTGGCAGTGCCACTAAAGTCGGAGGACCTCTGCCGGTATTTACTCTTTTTTTTGTTATTGGTATGAATCCAATTTAATCCATTAATAGCAAATTGAATGGCAGATTCCCAAAAAAGCTTGTTGATTATGAGGAATGAAGCTTGTGTGGGAATTAATTCCCAAAAAAGCTTTTGGCCTTTGTCTTACGCAAATTATGCACGGGTCCAAATAGTGTCGTTTTTACGGAAAAAAAAATTAGTTAATGTGCTGTTAACGGCGCGCGTTTGTTCAGATTATGAATTTTCTGTTATGAGATTATGAATGCACTGTACATTCATAATCTCTTACCAGAAAATTCATAATCGCATAAAAGAAAAACATTTATTAAATTATGAATTTTCTGTTATGAGATTATGAATTTACAGTTATTTAATTATGAATTTTCTGTAAATTCATAATCTCATAATAGAAAATTCATAATCTCATAAAAGAAAATTCATAATTTCATAACTGCATATTCATAAATCCATGCCTGCACATTCATAATTTATGAATGTTAAAGAAACTTGCGTGAAGAGGAAGTGAAACTGTGAAACGTAAAAATGAAGAAGAAAAGTTGCACAGTTAATTTAAAAAAAAAAAATTGAAGATAACGATGTACCGTTACTGTTGAGACTGTATTCACCATGGATGGTGAACACGGTTCCATGCATAACGATTGTTTGTCTTGTTAGCCTTTTATGGGCCTTGTAGAGTTAGGGTTTTTTGCCCTTGTGTTAGCCTTGTTAGGCTTTTATTTGTAAGGGCCTTGGCCCCTTAGTTTGTTTAGGCTTTTAAAGCCCTTGTTTGTTTGTGAGCATTAAGTCACTTTTGGACCTAAGGCGTTTCTGTGTAAGGCTTTGGCCTTTTTGTTTGGTGAAATAAAGTGTTGGCTTTTTTTTTTTTTTTTTTTTTTTTTTTAAGGGCAGCTCCTAAGTTTAAAAAATAAAATAAATTATAATATAAGAATTCAAATATTTTTTTAGTACTATAGACTCTGTTACAATGTAGTATTTGTCTAAAAAAATTTAAATATTAAAAAATAAAAATGACAATAATTTTTAGAAGAACCAATTCAAAAAAAAAAAAAGAAAAAAAACCCACGAAATATCCAATTAAACTTAATATAACAATTCAAACAAATTTAAATTAAAAATCTTCATTCATCTTTAACACAAATATTTACAACTTATACTACAATACTACGTGTATGTGTGTTAAAACAGTGTTGTTTTGATAGCGAATTATTGAATATAGCATTTTTAAGAAGTCACATTCACATCCAAATTACTAGTAATGTAACGGATTTCTACTAAGTGGATGTAGATTTGATTGGAACTAATTTATCAGATCCATGCTCAATGTTATACTATTAGTTAATGTTTAGTTTAATCCTTATGCTGTAAAATTGGTCAATAAGTGATGTGGTATCCACATAATTGCCAAGTTGTCTAGCCACATAAGTAGACTTAACCATTTAACTAATGTCACTAATAATTTTACTTAATTGTACTATCTTTTAATAATACAAGGACTAAATTGATATCCTATTTTATAGTACAAGGATTAAATTTAATATTTTATAATAGTATAGTGATTAATGAATTACTTAAACTAATATTATTCAATTCATGTATATTATGGCATGTGTTATTATCATTTATATTCTTTTGTTACTCATGAATATGTATTTTCACTTCTAAAGGGTAGGTCTTGTGAAATCATCTCACGAAGTAAGGAAGACAGGTCGGACCTAATAAATTGTTAACTACAAGTACAAAATAAGTTAATTGAAGACACATAAGATGTAGGTTAACATGTTTTGTGTCTGTAGTTATCATATTATGTGTCTGCAATTACATGTACAGAAAGTCAGAAACGATTAACTGTAGGTACAGAATGTGTCAACTGCAGATACAAAATCTGAAGATTATTTTTGGACTATGGTCTACAATGCAAGGTAGACTCTGGTCCATAGTATAATTTGCCAACTGGGATCGTTATATCGTGGACCAAGGAACACAGTGCACTGTGGACCCTGGTCCAATACAACGTCGCTTTGGTTAAGTTCGTGGGTTGTTGACGCGACGGACACCGTTCCGTCCACCCAATCCGGTTACAGTTTTTTTAACACTTGTGTTTATGTGTATTATGTTAAGAGTTTATGTGTATTCAACTATAAAATTCTATACATTATAAATTTCAATTCCATACCTCAGTAGACAGAAATGATATTACTAAGACTCATGATTATGTGTATTATGTTAGGAAATTATGTGTATTCTACTATACAGTTCTGTACATTATGAATTTCAATTCATACCTCATTACACATAAATGATGTTTCTAAAACTTGTGTTTATGTGTATTACGTTAAGAGTTTGTGTATTCAACTATATAATTATGTACATTATGAATTTAAATTCATACCTCACTAGACAAAAATGATATTTATTAGACTTGTGTTTATGTGTATTATGTTAAGTGTTTACGTTTATTCAACTATACAATTCTGTACATTTTTGAATTTAAATTCTGTACATTATGTGTATTATGTTAGGAGTTTATGTATATTTTACTATACAATTCTGTACATACGAAACAAGAATTTTTTTTTTTTAAAGAAGTTAACGGCAAAAACGAAAAATGTGATTTCAAAAAAAAAAAAAAAAACAAAAACTGTAAATGAATAGGAACAAAACGACATTGTTTTGGACCAAAGAGCACAATGCATTCTGCAACCTGCCACCCTGGTCCACGATATAATTTGCCATGAGCCCAAGACCATATCATTGGGGCTGGCTCTTTCTTCTACCTTGGGTCCTTAAAATATATATAAGGCCCAGTTTAATGTCCAAACGGTAGGATTCTAAAAATTTCCTTTAACCAGATTTCATAGCAGATATTCTAATTTCTAAGACAACTAGTGTTAGAAACCCCATGCATTCATATTGACCTATCTTTAAAAGAATAAAATAAACTTAACTAAAATAAAAAGATATTTATTAGATACTTGGGGTGGGGGGAGCAATTGTTAACTATTAAACTAGGGTCCATCTTGCAGGATTCGGTTATATTTCACTATTGGAAATTATAGAATTTCCTACCTCCTGAAAATGATCTTAAATCAAGTTGAAAGTCTTGTTCTGACCACTTTTGGTATCTGGAAAAACCTTTATTGCTATTTCCGACCACTTTTTGCTTTCGAATTGATTTAAGATCACTTTCAGGTGGTCGGAAATTTCATAATTTCCAGTAGTGTTTCTTTCTATATATAGAAAGCTTTTTTTTTTTTTTTTTTGAAAGCTACTGACTCTATTACATTATAGTATTTGTTCATCTATACTCAGGGGCGGAGCCAGGATTTGTTGGTGCGGGAGGCCAATCACCGCGGTTGTTGTCGTCAACTGAGGAAACGAAAGAGAGGATTTATGCATTTAGCTATCATTTAACTACAACAATATCAACCCAACAGGGTAGCTCAAGTGGCAAATGAGCTCTCTTTGTGGGAGAGAATTTTGGGATAACCCGGGTTCAATTCTCACAAGTGAAGAGAGACTATTGTGAGGACGGATGAATCCATCTCCAATAAAAAATAATTCATAATTGAAGAAAATTCAAAGATTTAAAGAATAAAAAATTACTGACGTTTTTGGTTTACAAGTTTGGAATTTGGATGGTTTGAGTATAAAACTTAGCAATCATGGTCCACACAAGTTGTGTGGACCATAATTTGTATGTTATAAAATAATGTGCATTTAGTACAAAAATTTTAGGAAATGTACATTCAATACACAAATAATATACATTTAGTATATTAAAAATGTACTTTTTGTTATGGTCCACACAACACTGTGGAGAGGGGCCAAGCCGCCAATAGGTAATGGCCCCTGCTACTCTACTCTAATTCAAAACAAAATTTGTTTGGGGGGTGAGGGGCAAGGCCCCCTGCTCAACACCGCCTTTGAAGCTCAATCTCATGACCTCCTATATGGAAGAGTCACTACATGCCATTTAAGTACAATGTGTTTTGCATATATAAATTTTTTTTTTTTTTTTTTGATAATTCATTCCCATTGATCAAAGTCATGTTCTTTGGTTCAACGGTCAATTGGAAGTTGGAACCACTAAATTCTTGAAAATCCCTAACTTCTTAGTATTTGTGGTGAATCTCTTTCTTGGAATATTTTAAAACTCAATTCTTTTCCAATGTGTCTTTATTTTTTGATAGGGACCTAAAAAGAGAGTAGCTCTCCCTTTCGTTTCAATTCTATCCTCTCTCTCTTCTAAAGGAAAGGAAGACTTTTGGTCTTTTGGGACCTTGTCACTCGAAAGAAGTTTGTAGGAGGTAGAGAGATGAGTAAGAAGACAGGTTTGGAGTCTAGAGGTGGGTCATGGTAGTGGAAAGTGAAAAACTATAAGGTGATGTCCAAAACGCCCAAGAGAACTTTAATTTTTTGAGTGCCTAATATTTATTTTTGACCTAACTACTTAAGAAATTATATATAAAAAAAAAGTATCTGCAATTAATCCTGAAACTCACTAGTTTTTTCTCAAATCACTTCTCTCCTAATAATTAAGACTTAATTAATTGAGTATGTCGCATGGCAAAACTGTTCTATTTTCCCAACGGCACAGATGATGTCTCAAATCCTGAATCTGTAGAGATAACTTAAAATATGTACCATTCACTAGTTCACCACCAATACCTCTAGAGAAATTGATTGTTCCCCCTAATAGATCGTGCTACTTTTTGCATTCCAAACGATAGCGGCAACCCAACAGGTAGCCACTAGCCAGTTAGTTTCAAGATGTTTTTATTTTATTTTATTTTTATGTTTGTTTGGACTTTGAAGATAGTTGGTTTGTAGGATTCTTATGGTTTGATTTTAAAGATTGTGTTTATAATTTTGGTATGGCCTCATTTATTTACAAGAACGGGGCCTCACAAAAGTGCCCTAATTTGTTGGGTTAAAAGCTCACTCAAAACAAAATCAACTAGGGTTAACCAGGGGCAATAGTTATGTTGTGCACGGTTGCAAAACGACATCGTTTTGACTAAAAACGCGCGTCCCCTTTAAAAAAAATCAGTTTCGATTCCCCTCAACATCATTATGTTGTTCATTCATTGTGGATATTTAGTTCATTCATTATGGATATTTAGTTCATTCATTGTGGATTATTAGTTATTCATTCACTCTGGATTATTAGTTATTCATTCACTGTGGATATTTAGTTCATTCATTGTGGATATTTAGTTCATTCATTGTTGATATATAATTCAAATTATGCACAAAAAAATGCTATTGCCGGGAATCGAACTTAATTTTTTTTTTTTTTTAAGTGAGACACACATTTTTAGTCAAAACGACGTCGCTTTTGCAACCGTGTGCACCATAGTTGCATAGCATAATTTGCAACCCAGGGGTTCGAAATGAGGCCATGTCGAACAGGGCTTTTTTGACTTCTTCTGCCAAGAAGGGCCTGTTAATATCAGTCCAATTCCTGATAATGCGATTTTTTTTAACAAGTTCCATTTTTTTAATAATACTTTATATTATAATATTGTACAATATGCTTTGATAGTAATATAAATGAGAAAGATGATAATATTATCAGGTAAAATATTAAGTATTACTATTTTTTTTAAAGTTTATTTTATCTCCTAGAATTGATTATCCAAATTAGAAACAAAAAATTTCATCCAATAATGCAACTAACGTAATGGGGTAATATAAGATATGATTTTATATTTTCAAAAATATCCAAAACCGCTCCGGGGTTTGGGGGGGGGGGGGGGGGTGTTAAGTAGTAATGTGTATGACTTGGTATAATTTATTACTTGCATTATCATATTCAATGTAAGTAGTAATAATGTTTCATTTTGTGAAAAGAAATAGATTGTTTATAGATATCACAAATTATACTCCCTTGTTCTTTGTACTAAAAAATACTCACTTGTTCTTTCTCATTTTATAATTCATCATCTATATCCCTTGAATTTTGGTCCTAATTCCCATTGAGGTACGTAGGGTGAAATTGTTATATTTATCTAGAGAAAAGCTTTTGGGTAAGGCTTTTATAATTAAGAAAAAATGTAAACATTAGGCAGTATATTAACTTCACTTATTTGTTTTTTATTTATTTAGTTTTTCATTTCTAAAAAACAGTATTATAACATTAATAAATAAATTACAACTATTCAAAATTAACTTTAATCTTTGTCAAGATTTGAATACCAAACCTACTATATAGTATATACTTATGTACCACGCTCTCCATTTCTCTAAATTGAAAAACTTGTTAAAACAAGTTAAAATTATTGATATTGATGGAGACAAAAGAAAATAGAGCTTAGATGCCACCTATGTTAAAACTTACGACAAGCGGACACTTTTGACATTTCCAACAAACCAAAAGTTAAGTATTTCACATTTATAATACTTACCCGTAAAATATATATGCACACAGGGCCGGTTTTTAGTTTTTTTGTGGCTCTGTTCTTAAAATAAATGAGGCCCTTCTTTTTCTAATAATAATAAAAAGATTTTTTTAAAAAAAAATGAAAAATGTGCACTAAGCAAAAATCAAACGTATAACCTCCCAAATGAAACACACTAGTCACACATTTTCACCATTCCTCCATACAACCTTTTAAGATTAATTGTAATTTTTTTCTTTTTTAATATCTTAACTAATTAATCAGGTAAAAATTAAATATTGGATCCTCTAAAATTTGAGACTCTAGGCTGTTGGGCTGCTTACACAGCCCAAAATCCGGACCTGTATGCACATGTTTGTATGTGAAATTTACAAGTTATATGTGTGAACATAAATATTTTCCTGAGCATCGGCATTCGTATAATCGGGAGATATCAAATTTGCAACGGGAAGACACAAATTTTTGGAAAGTGCCTCAAAACTTGCAACACGCTATAAGATAATAGTACTTATATTGAATTCTTTTATGAAA